TTTTTGATCCTTTTTATTGTCAGCGTGGGAAGCTGCAGTGTTGGTAAAAGAGTAACCCCCAGTAATAGCATCACCACTAAGCAGTAACTGAAAAACGTGGCTGAGAAGGTGCTATTTTTGTAGCCTCCTCTAAGTCCAAGCCAAGGTTTAGTTATAATACATTGAATATAGTTGATATATAAAAAAAAAAAAAAAGGTGTCGTGGGAAGCTGCAGTGTTGGTAAAAGAGTAACCCCCAGTAATAGCATCACCACTAAGCAGTAACTGAAAAACGTGGCTGAGAAGGTGCTATTTTTGTAGCCTCCTCTAAGTCCAAGCCAAGGTTTAGTTATAATACATTGAATATAGTTGATATATAAAAAAAAAAAAAAGGTGCACAATCAAAAGAGGTTTTGTAGTTTCAGGAAGAAACTGGAAAATTACACTTCTCCTTCACTCCACTGCTGACTGGTAGAGGATTCTCTCCAAAAAAATTTGTTTAAAGTGTACACAAAAGTGTTAGGTCTTCTTCAGATGACAAAATCCACCTTCAGAAACCCACTGTGGATCGTAGGTACATTCCACCTTCACAAAGCCAATGAAAAGTGATGGGAAAACTCAGGGCCGCTGTAAAACACAGCAGGAAAGTAAGCCAGAACAGAGATTTTTGCCTGAAGTAGGACACCAAGGGGGTTATTTATAAACACTTGCACCGCTCTTCACTGTGCAAAAGAGATTCAGAGTGCCGTATGGCTTTGCCAATTCTTTCTGGAGCTGCGTTTTAAATGACACTGCTCATCTGAGTGAGCTATACATAAAAAAGCGCCTAGATGTACAGAACAGAAAGGCCATTGGCTTTGAGCTAACAGGAGCTGGTAGCTCTTGGTTATGTATAGTACAGCTTACTTCAATTCCAGAATAAAAATGTAGAGAAATAATGAAAATCAGACATTTCTCTTATAAAAGTCTGAGGTAATTGTAAAAGCCAATGTCTATTCAAAAACCTTTATTTATGATGTGCATTACTACATGCGTTTTCACCCCTTCATGCAAGAATGCACTTTTTATAGTGTGTTCCAGTGACGTGCGGTACCTCTTACTCTGGGGGAGGAACTCCCCAGCCAGGCCCCAAGCCGGCCAAAGATCCCCCCTTTTCCCCCCAAAGCTCCGCCTCATGCCGGCCGAAGCCCCACCCTGTCACAAGCTAGTGTAGAGGAGTAAGGGAGGAGCCTCCCTGTCCCTCACTTGCTCCTCACCGCTGAGGCTCCGTGACAGGTTCCACAGCGGGGAGGATTTCCCTGCTGTGTAACCCGTTAGATGCCGATCTGAATGGAGAAAAAGCTGTCATCTTCAGACATGAAGCCGACAGCTTTTTCCTCCGTAATTCTAAACCTGCCTCCCCTGACCGCACGTCCCTGGTGTGTTCATAGGCGTTTTAGGGCCCATTTATTTACACTTAAGTGTTTTAAAGTATTATGCATGTGTTCCGAGTGTGCTGATGCACACCTTTGTGTATTTGTTATCCAAAGTGAGGAAAAACGCTTAAAGCTGAATTGCGGGCACAAAAAAATGTAATTTAAATATATTCCTCAATAGCCACAAATGATATAAATCCACTTTTTTCACACCACATGCAGTTACCATTATTACCACATAAAAGTAGCAGTGATCTCATTACTGTGGTGCACATAACCTGCGCAAAAAGCACAGCTGTGGGAGTGGTACTGCAGACCCACAGAGAACAGAAAACTACAGAGGGAGTGGAGAGAAGACCAGTGACCCTGCACAAGGGGAGACCAAGAGCAGTGACTGGTCTTTATTTCACAGTAGATTATTGCACAGATCTGGAAGAAATACACAAAGCACACAAGATACAACTAAGAATACACATCTCCCAAATACTGATTGTTATTGTTGTGGGGGCGTGACCGCAAGCCGATGTAGGAAGACGCTGGGATAGCTCTTCCCTGCCGATTAGCTGCTATTAATCAGCATAGAGGGCATTGACCTTTTCTTTACTCCCCGGCTTTAACGATACTGGCGGCAGGGTGATTCAGAGATCTGTCCGGCAGTAAATTGGAAAGTGTAAGAGCAAGATGACAAGGAAAAATAAAGAGGGTCAAGCTATCTCGGATCGATCGTTTCACGACGGTGTCAGCTTAAACACTCAGCGTGCGGTGAGAGAAAAAGAAAAGGCAGAAGGAGGCTGCATGTAAGTTGGAACGCTTTGCCCGTAGTACTCCAAGTTAAGAAGCGAAAGACCAGAAACATAAAACAAGTAATCTCCCTCATGTGCAAACGGAGGGGGATGGGGGCATGATGGAGTCTTCAGCAAGTAAGGATGGGGGGTTAGACCCCCGGCAGCAAGATTCAGCTACTGCAGGTACTGTGAATATACAGGACAGTGTGGGCGCTGAAAATGCTCTGCAATCTACTATGCAGCCAGAGGGGGAACCAACATTAAAGGATGTGTATAATGCAGTGCAGGACTGTGGCTCTACATTATCTATTCTTACTGGTCAAGTTCAAGGTCTTAGAGAAGACATGGTGATTCTGAGACATGACTTACAAAAAAATAAGAGAGCGTACTGCAGCTGTGGAGGGGAGAGTGGGTATGCTGGAGGATGAGGTTACCCCATTACGCAAAGACATGCGGTCTGTTAACGCTGATCTATCAGTATATTCCTCTCGGTTGGAGGATATGGAAAACCGTCTAAGAAGAAATAATGTGCGCCTTCTGGGGCTGCCAGAACAAGCAGAAGGGAGGAATCCTACAGTGTTTATTGAAAAATGGCTGCTGGATACTTTTGGAGTGGACTTTTTTTCATCAATGTTTGCAATAGAGAGAGCGCATCGAATCCCTACTACATCGTTACCTCCTGGAAAATTCCCTCGGCCATTTAGCATAAAATTCTTCAATTATAAGGACCGTGAGCTTTTGATCTTTGTTTGTTTGTATAAATTGTTAAAAATTGAATAAAGAGATTTAAAAAAAAAAAAAGAATACACATCTCTTGTATTTATACAATATTTGCTTATCCCAGAGATTAGCTTTAAGAATATACATTTTTCTATGGTGCATTTCCGCGTGTTCATCATTTATTTCAAAGGGCCTGCTCGGCCAGCTTAACCAGCTAGTAATGCAAAGGATTAGACACCAACGGGTTGTCTTTGAGCTCTTGTCTATGCAGTATAAAGTAATATAGAGACTGATAACACTAAAATGTTTTATACTAGATTTTTTTTTTTTTTAAAGGAAAAAGAAAGGGCTTTTATTTTAGAAGGCAGTGCTGTTTATGGCCACTAGAGGGAGGATCTCCAGTGAACACAATACAGGACAACTCTCAGTAGCACGGACCAAAAAAAAATACCCACTGCTAAGGACGAGAAAATTGATTCAAAGTCAGGGAAAAATAGCAGAAAATAAAGTGAAATATCCCTAGAGAGACACAGATGGCAAAAAAAACAACAACTGATACCCATTTTAACCCTCCCCTACTCTATCCACAAAAAAGAGATTCTCTGGCTACTGTAACCCTTAAAGAGGTTGACACATCCTGCAGTGTGGGTGGCAGGACAGAAGGTGACAGGTAGAGTATAACATCTCTGATATCCAGGGAAATCTTTTTTGCTCATTTTTAATTTTTTCAACAGGATCACTTTGATGGGAACGTATTGAATTTTTTTCTTTTTATTACATTACTTTTCTTTATTTGTTAGATTCAAGATTAAAAATAAAAAAAATCTTTAAACATAATATTTTATGTGAAATAATAAAACTGAAAAACAGTGTATGAATAATCCATACATCAGTGCTTACCAGGCTAATCTTAAGTGCTAAAGCTAGGATTATACGGCGTGACGTGATGTAACGTCAATGTGTTAAAGGAGTGACTTATTCCCCACAAAGAAAAAAAAATGTGCTGCTATTGGAAAACTGATATTGCCTTGTGAAACCAGTGTCATGGGTACCAACTTTATTAAAGGAGAACTATGGGGTTAAGGCTTTTCCCCATAGTTCTCCTTAGGGTAACGGGAGGACACAAACTAGCGTCCTCCCGTCACCCTAGGCTCAGTATACCACGAGCTGTAGCTCGCGGTATACTGAGACGCCGCAGTATAACGCGAGCTACTGCTCGCGGTATACTGAGACGCCGCAGCTGAAGTGGATCCCGACAATTGTGCCGGGATCCGCCCAGCTGCGTGACTGACAGCTGGCTCTGCCTATCTAGAGGCAGAGCCAGCTGTACCCGCCCCCTCCTCCCTCCGATCCGCCAGTCAGCGCTGGCAGATCGGAGCGGGGAGGGGGGAATCCAGCCCCTCCCCTATCATGGCAGAGAGCCGTGACAGGATCGAGAGGTGAGCGAACGCCGGTATGTGTTCGCTCACCTCCTGATCTACTGAGCCGACCTGTGACAGTCTCATTGTCACAGGTCGGCTAGAACTACGAGGTGAGTGAAAAGCACTCACCTCATAGTTCTCCTTTAAATGTTTATTTCCAAAAGTAAAATAGTTTATCTTAGTAGCTGATCAATTCAACAATCCAAACATAAAGAAAGAAGCAAAACTGGTCCAAAGCCATTATGATTTTCTGTAATGCCTTCTAACTCAAATATTTCCTATCCTGTCAGAAAGGGTAAACTGTTGGTTTGTGTACCAGAGCTGTAACTGTCCTTTTAACAGGGGTTCTTGATAAGGTGGTAAACCTTGCTAATTATATAGACAAGAGCTGTCCCTACCTCAGTTTAAGTCATAAATACTAGCCAAATGTTTTAGGACAGACAGAATAATTTTAGGTTCACTAAATGAATTGTCTGTTAATTACATAAACCCGAACCATGTAGGGGTCCTGGCCATCAGAACTATGTTGCAAAATGCTTTCACTGGAAATGTTTAAAATAAACACCATAATGAAACTGGGACAAGTAACAATTCATAGTAGTTCATTTACTTGCAATATAAAAAGAAGGCCACTGGAAACAAAGGTGTAAAATAAAAAGGTGATACCGTTTAGTTCCACTTTAGGTACTTACAGTGCCAGGTCGGGTAAAGTCAATGCTCTGTGCAGCACTTTGTCTCATCTGGCTGTGAAAAAGTCGTACACACACATTCTGCAGGTACTCTGGAGTTATCTAAAATATAGATGGTATATGGCACAATTGTGAAACAGGAAGTTAATGTAATGCAAGTCAAATCATACTGGTCTAACAACAATGCATTATAATATGTCTTAATACTTTCTTATATGTGGTCAGTTGTGCACAACAAAATTGCTTGCTGTAAAATCTAACACATAAAGGTCTTTAAAATACGCACCCTCTCAGGCAGACCTAGGCATTTGACATCACGCATGCCGTATCCGGCTCTTGGTCTGCGGTTGTCCAGCACTCTGTTATGGCGGGCTGACAGTGGATGCGCATCCACTGCAAGCCATAGCCCAGCGCAGGTCGGTGATCGGTCCATGTTGGGACCGCGTTTCTTTTGGGTCCTTGGTTGTTAGGACAGCTGGCATCCTAGCAATCAATAAAATCAAAAGTTCTCCTCTGCAATCATTGGTTGCTAGGACTGCTGGGTGGTCATAGCAACCAATTACATTGGGGACCTTCTCTGCGATCATTGGTTGGGTAGGTCCTGGCATCTGTAGGTTCCCGCCAAGCAGCAACTAACACACAGTACTGTACAACATGCCTACTGTGCACAATTTTTTTCAAATGCACCACAATGCATGGCATCACAATACCACGTGTTACGGCTGTCAATCGCATTGCGGCCAGGAGGTGCGTTTGGGGTGCCATTCAAATAAATGGCAATGCAAAGCACCTGCCGCAATGTAATACATGCACGGTCGGTGTATTGTACGATACCGTGCACTGATCAGTTCACACCTGTATATTGCAGTGATGCACTGTGTTAAAAAGCCCATTCATTTTGAATGGACCACAAACACACTAAAGATGCTGTATGCCACAATGCACCGTAACACTCAGATCCTTCACATTTTTGTGCTGTAGAGCATAACCACACACATGAGCGCTCTCAGTGCATTGGGGCATTATTAAAGATAAATAGCTACAAAATGCACTGCACTGTGGTACAAGCGTTGCTGTGCGATTGTAGAAACACATTGTAAAATACATATTTTACAGTGCATTACCACAGTGCAAATGTGTGAACAGGCCCCTTAGTGTTTTACAAGAATCAAGACTTATTTTTTCCTCCTTAATCCCTTTTCCCTTTATTAAAGTCAACAGATTTGTAATCCATTTTAGAAGCTGATTACATCACTTACAATGGATGCTGCTTCTTGATGTTTAAAAGTTTTAGTTTCCTGCAGAATCAGCTGGGCTCCTGAGTTTGTAAAGATACACAAAGCTTACTAGCACACACAGGGGTGGCTCCATAGGACTAGGGAAAGGGAAAGAAGCCACCTTAAAACAGGATGTCTGGACCAGCGCTTAGGGGACCAGATGAATCTGCAGGTAACTCATCATCAAGGAGCAGCATCCAATGTAAGTCATTTAATCAGCATCAGAAATAACTTAACAACCTTTTGACTTTAAAATGAATGGGAAGTCAAAACTTTTTAAAATTCTGCACAGAGCAGAGAAGGGCTAGAACCCCTCAGGTTTTAACTGCTATCTGGGATGTCATTAGACACATTTTCCTTCACTTTCTGCTCCACTGACAAAGGTTTATCCAGGAAGTAGACAAGAACAGAGACATGAAAAAAGGAGACAGGGATACTAGCCTTTTCCTACTCTGACAAAAAAAAAGTTTTGATCTATGTTGCTATAGGAAACTGTCTGCAGAAACCTTTGTCAGCAGAACAGGAAGTTAGGGGTTATCTTTATAAACAGAGTAGACAGAAACAGGAACCATGCCGCACTGCTTACCGGGATTCCCACAATCTCTAAAAGGTGCCCACACACCTTGCGATAATCGTACGATAATCGCAGGAAATCCCGCGATCATACGATTATCGCAAGGTGTGTGGAAGGCGTGCGACCGTTTCTACTGTGTTTATCTTAGGAACATGTTCGAAAATCCGCCGAGAATCGTACGATTGTCGGCGGGTGTGTGGTATGCCACACACGCGCACACTGCCCGTTCAGCATTGCGGTCATCAGTTGTCAGGTCTGTGGCACCTTAAGCCTGATGAAGGGGGCCCTGGGTGGCCCCAAAAGCGCTTGCCAATGAGATACAGCTATTGGCAATAAATGAACATTTTGCTTTTTCAACTTGCGGTGTGCTGGTGACGTTTTTCTATTATCTTTATAACAGAGACCCAGCAGTACAAACCTGATAGGGGTTCTAAACCCTTCCACACTGTTCAAAACGTTAAAAAAAAACGAAACGTTTTGCCTGGACATCCATTTTAAAAGAGACGCTAAAGCTGGCCGTACACTGCTTAGATTTTCGAAAACACTTTAAGAGAAAGTCAATCAAAAGATCTTTTGTACAAGTTGATGGGGTCAAATTGACAATCGAATCCAACCGTAGTAACAAAACAAAAACAACAAAAAAGATCGAAGGAGCAGAATGTAACATTTTTCTCAAACGAATGAAATTCTAACTGTGAACGTGGTTTTGTTTAGGAAACTCCATTCATTCCAAAACCAAACGTTAAAATAAAACGAAATTTCGTTTGACATTCGGCCTAGTGTCTGATTGCATTACTGTTTGGTAAAGAAAAATCTTTCGTTCGGAAATCTTCTAGTGTATGGCCAGCTTTATGGTTTATAAACCCATAAGCAGTATGGTCCCACTCCTCAAATGCCAAAATATTCCTACCCACCTTTTCTCCTGCTCACCAAAATCTGACTGATTATAGAGACAAACTAGCAAAGCAGAAGGGAACTGCCTTTGATTTAGGCTATAGAAGCGATTTTAATCTCTTGATACTACGTGATTTGACTACTTGCTGACAATCACATAAGAAGCATATGCATTTCAGTGTGCTGCCGTTTAGGGGACTGCCATGTGGTTAAATCTCTCAGTAGGAATAGATTAGCATAGGTAACAGTTTCCTAGCTGACGACAGCATCTGCTGCAACATTATCAAAAACCATGGATACTGCTTTAGAAATCTGCGCCATCTGCTGGATGTCATTTCAGTCTTCAAAACTTTAGAGTAATTAAAAAAAAAAAGCAGCTTTAGCATGCCACCTGGTGGAAGAACTAGGAGAAACCAGCATGATTGCTACAAACTATGGTTGCCATGTAAAAGTGGATCTAAACCCAAGAATAACTATTGAAACTACTGTAGCTTACCTGTCATGGCTGAATTCGGTTTATTTTTATAGACTCTTTTCCATTTAATTATTATCTGTTGATTCTGCTCGTAATATACTTCCTGTACTAGGGTGACAACACAAGCCATGGAACTGCTGATGCCGAAAAGTTGGTCTTGGCTGGACTGAAGAGAAACTGCCTCCCCACAGACGTAACATTTAGAAAAATTGACACCTTTAGGGAAATTCTTTTGGGGACATTCCCGTATATATACCGTTTAGTGTGGATGGGGGAATTGATATATTTCTATGTTTGGTTGCGGCCTGAACCAAGGAAAATCTAGCTGTGCATGATTAGCATAAAAGGTACGTTCACACCATATGCAGTGCGTTCCGGCCCGATTCCGCCCGGAACACAATGCATCGCATTGCGGCCAGCTCACTATTTCATGGGGCTGGAGAGGGCGTGGCGGGCCATTGAAGTGAATGGCACCATAGCCACGCCATCGGGCCGCAATGCGATTGCCCGCACGGGATCGCAGGGCACATTGTGCCTGCGGTCTGGTGCGATCAAAATGCTGCTCTATTTTTGACATTGTGCCTGCGGTCCGGTGCTTGCAGCATTTTGACCGCACCAGACCGCAGGCACAATGTGCCCTGCGATCCCGTGCGGGCCGAAGGGCGTGGCTACGGTGCCATTCACTTCAATGGCCCGCCACGCCCCCTTCAGCCACACGAAATAGTGAGCCGGATGCAATGCGATGCGTTCCGGCCGGAACGCACTGCATATGGTGTGAACATACCCAAAGAGAGAAATATTGGGATAGTAACATTTACTCTTCCAAATACTAAAGCCGGTGTGGGACACTGCAGCTGTCACACACTGACTATGTATCGAGAGCTGAGCAATCACAAACGGCTCACGCCTTTCCCTGCAAAGTGCGGTTACACCTCTCTGTAGGGATTTCTCCCTTCCCCTCACTCATGCTCCAGCGCTCACTGGAGGGACAGAGACGGGTCTGAATTTTCCAGCCACCTTCTCATGTCTGTAAATACGTTAAATCTGCAAGCAGTAAATTAACCTTATCCTGCAATCTAAGCAGCATTCCCCTCAATGTTACAAACGCTATAATTTCTTACCAGCTTTCCATTGATGGTTGCCTCCAGAGAATCAACAAGCTCAGCTGTGACACCAATCAGATTATGGTAGTCAGACTGCATCTTATTAAACCGCTTCATGTAGGTGATAGCTCTCTGCTCAGCCTCCAACAACTGCTGCTGTGATTGTAAATCTGTACAAAAACAAACAGTTAAGCTATGTTTTGTTTCTGAAACAAGAGAATCATAAAAAAAAGGCATTATATCATACAGGAGCTGAAGGAATAAGCCCACCCAAAATTCATAAAGCAGCTACATGGAAGCAAGGAAGTCATCTAGCATTGTTTGAAGATCCCATGGCAAAGTTCTTTCGATGGAATCCCAGCCACCAAAACTGAGACAGTCAAGTTAAAAGGTGGCTGAGCACTACTCTATAGGCATGAAGAAATCATCAGTCACCATGCTTGGTAGCTAATCTATCTAACAAAATCTTGCTGCTTGAGCCCCAGCACTAAATAAGTAGCAAAATGTTTTGTTTTTCATATAATTTCACTGAGGAATATGAGGAAAAAAAATGCCTTTATCATAAGGTTTACATGGCTCACTAGCCAAGTATTTACAGGTGAAACTCGAATAATTAGAATATCGTGCAAAAGTAATTGCAGTAAGTGCTGCAAAAGGGGTCCAAACCAAGTACTGAGTACATATGCATGCTTGTACTTTTCAGAGGTCCGATATTGTTCTATGTACAATCCTTGTTTTATTGATTGCATGTAATAATCTACTCTTTTGAGGTTGTGGATTTGGGGTTCTTGGGGGTTTTCATGAGCTGTAAGCCATAATCATCACAATTATGACAAATCACGGCTTGAACTATCTTGCTTTGCATGTAATGAGTCTATCTCATATATTAGTTTCACCTTTTAAGTTGCATTAGTGAAATAAATGAACTTTGCACGATATTCTAATTATTCGAGTTTCACCTGTATGTGAAATACATAGGAGACACATGTTGTCCAATATGTTCATGGATAGAAGAGACTAGCTTGAATCATGTCAATTTGTATCATAATAAACGATTGCCTCTTTAGCTGTGTGTGCCAACAGCATAACATTATTTTAAAGGATTGAAAGAGAGTATATAAAATGTTTGCTGGTCAAGTCGGGTAAATAGACACCAAACATGTCAAGCCTTAAAATTGCGTGTGGCCGCACAATCGCAAAAAATGACCACACCGAAAATTGGCCATAGGTGGTGCTTTAAACGCTTTTACTGCTCATCAGTTTAGTGTCATCAGTGATTGATGGCCCTAAAATTATTGCTCTCATTCCGACGCTCACGGCGATATGTAATATGTGCGGCACAATTGTCGTTTTTGCAGTTAGGCGCACCCGACGCATGTTTGCGTGTGTATGTGGGGGGCGGGGGACTTAAAAAAAGTTTAGTTTCTTTTATGCATCTTTCATTTTTTATTACTCTTTTTTTAACACTTAACTTTATTGCCATCACATGGGGGGCTAAGAAGCCCCTTATGTGATAGGCAATTTATATGACAGGTCCTCTTTATGGAGACATCAGGGGTCTCCAAGACCCCTAATGTCACCTAGAACCGCTGGAGAGTGACATCAGTATGCGGAAGTGATGTAATATACATCACTTCCTGCATTCCAGGACTGGAGATCAGAGGGAGATTGTGTACAGAGCTCCCTTTGATCTCCTGTCACAGAGCAGCCGTGTCGGTCCCAGCGGATCTCGTGACTGGCAATAGCAGTGACAGCTGCTGCGAATACAAGCGATTGGGCGTCTCTAGAGACACCCAATCGCTTGAATTTAATTGCAACGGCTGGACTGGAAGCTTCCAGATAAATGCAGTTTCTGGGTGCTTGAGAGTTGCTATTAAAAATAGGTCTAACTAATGCCATACCTCATTCTATACCATATCATAAAATAAACTCTGTATGAACTTGATATTAATATTGAATTGCAATAATTAAAAGTCAATTAAGACAAATAGACACACTTAACCATTTGAAGACCAGGGTGTTAAACCCGTGATAGGAACCCATTTCTGAGTTGTCATGTGACCCTTGCAGAATAAGTGTAAGAAATATTGTACCTACTGAGTAGGGAATGCCAATCTATATAAGTGTACCAGTAAAGTTTCAGCTTCAAGTGGCCTTCTCTATTAAATTTTTTGCATGGTTTACTTGTCTTTACAAATAACTTAGTCCCATGACCAACAATAAGAAACAGTTCAACATCGAGATGACTATGGGGAGTTAATAAATTAGTGTTGATGTTTCACACATGCCTATGGAAATATTATCCACAAAACAAACCTAAGTTACCCAAGTGTCAATTCTCATAACATAGTCGTGACTAAGGTGGAAGAAAAGTACAGGTCAAAATCTTCCATTTCATCATAGCATACATTTTTAAATCATGATCCAATAGCGATTTTATATGCTCCAAAAATGTTGATTTACTCAAACTATGGCCCACTACCAACTAAAAAACTCTTCAAAGAACAAAAATATCAAATTAACCCACTGTGGTCTTTGTCAGAAGAAAAGCACATCTTTCTTAATTCTTACAATTATAGTTCAAAAGGAGAACTATGAGGTGAGTGAAAATCACTCAGCGCTGACTGGCGGAACGGACGGGGGAGGGGGCGGGTACAGCTGGCTCTGCTCTAGATAGGCAGAGCCAGCTGTCAATCACGCAGCTGGGTGGATCCAGACAGTAATGTAGGGATCCGTCCCAGCGGCGGTCTCAGTATACCGCGAGCTGTAGCTCGCAGTATACTGAGCTTTGGGTCACGGGAGGACGCTAGTTTGTGTCCTCCCGTGACCCATAGGAGAATTATGGGGAAAAGCACTGACCCCATGGTTCTCCTTTAATCATTTTTAAAGGTCTTAGAAATGTAGCTATAAACATACTTGTAGCGATGCATATGTTGACAATCAGAAATGACAATAAAATGACAATGCAATTATGATTACCTTTGTTGTATTGGTTACTCTCTTTCTGTATGATAAATGTGTCAAGGTAAACTGTACAGTTCAGGTCACTTATATTCACATCGCTTCTCTGTTATAAACATGCTGTGGGGTTTTTGTGTATATGTTGGACCAGAACATGATTTTTAATCTTTGTGAGCATCTCACAAGTTCAGCCAAAGAGTGTCGACGCAATCCCTCCATTACTACATATGGTATATTTTAAAATACATATAATATAAAACACAAAAGCATCACAGCTTGTACATGATGAATACAAGTCAAGTCTAAAATGAAATCCGCCTAGAAAGTGATATTTGTAAATGCCATCCAAATGTGCTTTTAAAGAAACCCTGTCAAAAACTTAAATGAATTGCAGGTAAAAGCACAGACAATAAAGTATTTTAAATGCTTACTTGCAGTGTCTTTTCTATCCATAAATAATTTATTTTTAATTTGCAAATTTGGAAATCACGAGGAAATGTCAATTTTCTAGCAGAACCTCTTCCCTCCTTACATGTCAGAGCCCTCTTTATTTCTAGGAGTGTCTAATTACTCTATGTGCTAACTCTCTGGTAGCATCTCTGCTACCCCCTCACCTCACAACATAACCTTTTATGTAACTGATGGAAAGAAAGGAACGGAATACATTATAGTGTCACTTTAGAGCTCTAAAGTCGGGTATACACGCTTCTATTTTCTGAACAAAGAAAATAGAACAGATTCCTCCATCAACGCTTACGAGTGTTGATTGAAGGAATCTCCTGCTGTTTCCGTTGTATTCTGACAGCAGCCTCCAGCCCCTGTCAGAATAGCCTAACAGAGTAAGCAGCTCATTGGCTTCTAGCTCTGTTTGCCCGACAATTTTATTTTAATATGTTCCTCCGATCAGCTGACCGAAGGATACTGGTCGAAAAGGTCAAGGTCACTGGCTAAAATTCGAAACGTGTATACCCGGCTTTAGTCTGCTGGAGCTGCTGACATCATATCCAAGATGGTGGCGCCCAGCATCATCTTAGGCCTTTTGGATGTTGACACAAAAAAGCTTTTACAGCTAACAACATATATAATATAATAAATACACATGTAATCTTATGGGAAGATTTTTGTTAAAATTCATTGTCTAGAGATAGGGTCTCTTTAAAAGAGAAGTAAAGCCAAACCTTTGCTAACATTCTCGGGTAACCCAAAGTCAGCAGATGCATGCTATCTGCTGACAGCGCAGATCCACCCCACCTACCTAAGTGACAGCTGGTGCTGCCTCTATAGAGCCAGTCATGCCTGCCTCCTCCCATCTGTCCCTCCACTGAGCACTGGAGACACAGAGAGGTGGGAAACCCTGGAGCAGTGACTGACGGTGCTCTCCGCAGGAAGAAGAGACAGCTGAGCGTTCAGCAGATCCATGATCAATCATCTCTCAGTATAGAGCCCACATGTGACAGCTGCAGTGTCCTATGCTGGCTCTAAGCAGAGGAAAGAGTATGTTTTACTCTTCCTACACTTCTCCTTGAACATTAAACAAACATCTAAACAAACAAACAAACAAAACTTAGAAAACTAAAGCCATACTTTTGTTTGACTTAAGTCCTCTTTGGGGTCAAAGGAGCAAATTTACTAATGTACTCCTGTGACCCAAAGTCAGCATCTAGCGGACTACTGCCTCCTATCTGCTGACATCATAGAGCTGCGCCTCAGCTGGAAAAGGTCCTGACAATATTGTCAATACCCACCCTGATACCTGATGGACAGCTTGCTCTGCCTCTCTAGAGACACTGCGAGCTGTGCCAGAACCCCTCCACTGTCTGTCCCTCTAATAAGTGTTTGAAGAACAGAGAGGGGGGAATCCCTGTGGTTAACGGTGACTGTCAGAGACTCTGGAGGGAAACGTGATCGCACAGCTCTCAATCTATAGAGCCAGCATGTGACAACTGCAGTGTCTCAAACCGGCTCTAAGTATTGGAAATAATATATTTTACTCTCCCAATACTTCTCCTTTAGGTAGAATAAAGTGACATCTAGGTGATCTGCTATTTAGCAAGTAGTCTCAGACAGCCCCACACTTCCCTTCTAAAAGGAAAAAAGTAACTACAGTAGATAAGTTCGTAAACTTTTTCCAGTTGCTATTATGTCCCCCAAAATAAGCTGGTACCAGGACTGCATGCATGGTCCCCGTCCCTCATTAACTGCCTAAAAAGGAATACTTGTGTGACCCAGCTTTCCTGCTTAAAACAAAAGTTTTGCTTGCAAACAATGTAAAACGGCAGGATCATGCACAAAAATTCAATTATCCGTGTATGTCTATGACCAGCTTATCAGCTGGCTGCCATTTTTTCCCATATACAAGAACGTTTTACAAAGAATAAGATATGAACTTGCACTAACATTTCTGACACTTAATTTTTGCTATATTTAGACCAGGGGTAGGCAACCTCAGCACTTCAGTTGTTGTGAATCTACACATTCCATGATGCATTGCAAGACTGACAGCAACAGACATGACTCCCAGAAGCAGAGGCATAATGGCGTGTCAAGGTTGCCTACCCCTGATATATACTTAAGAAGAATGTTATTTTGTTGTTACAGGAAATGCCCAAACACTTTTCAGTATATCTTAGACAACATATAGACCATGATATCATGTAGAATTGGTGAAGATTTGTAGCCAACCCCTTTGGTACCTCCCCTTCAGGATGTCAGAAATGCCTCATTATTGCTTGCAATCATAAAAGTTGGAGCTATGCTTACTATTATCTTTACAGGTTACAGGTCTCTTTACAGGTTAATATATATTTACACATAACTTACATTGGTCATTAAGATTCAGTATTAAAAACTATAATGGTAGAACAGAAATACTATCACACAGCTTACGAAAACAATTTAAAAGATACATATAATGTAAGGAGTCGAGGTGCAGTCCCAGCTTTAAGGGTCACCGACAAGAACTTCTCCAAACGTGATTTCAGCTCAAGAGCCCAGGAATCCTGAAAACGAGACACAATGTATACATTTTAAATACATCAAGCTTGTAAGTTCACATCACACAGTGTAATGTCAACCATGCTGATGCAATGGGAATTATATAGGGCCACATGGACAATCTCAGACAGTGACAAGCAGTAGTAGAATATTATATGCTTGGAATTTACCACAAACTTACATTTACCCCATCACAAAGCCCTCCTCCAGTTAAGCGGTATCAGTGACCTCACAGATAGTAAAGAGACGATTTGATGACTCAGTCCATGGGAATGCTTAACTCTCTAATGCAATTTCTCTGTTTTTTAACAACACTTTCACATCCAGCAAACATCTTTTCTTTTTTCTAGCTCCATGTAATGAAGAGAAGCTGGTAGACTGTATACTGATCTTTCAGTTTGTGGATGAGCATGACAATTTTCTGTATCTATGCCTAAAAAATAAAGTCCAGAAGTGTCCTTTTAACGTGAACCTGACAAAAAAAATAGTTTCCAAGGCAACAGTGCAGAAGTGCAGGTACCTTGCCTGTGCCACCAAATGCCTATGTTAGTCTTTAAATTAATCCCTGCGCTACTGTGGAGCAACCTTTGATTCTAGGCCCAGCCCAAACATGAGGCGTCTGAAGAAAACATCTGCAGAAACAGAATAAAGGATATCCAGAGCCAAGAAAAAAATCTATTATATTGCATCTTACCAGTCCTTACATGTGGTGGATGCATTCATTTTCATCTTACAGGCAAAGAGCGTTTTCAGCAAGTACAGAAAATACCCGCTGATCTTGCCAAAAATATTGCGTCTTTTCATTTTCTGCAAGCTGCACTGAAAGCTCACGCAATGGTAACACTCTTCTGTAAACTACTATCCCCCAGTAGTCCAGCCTAAGTGACAACCAAAGTTCCCTCTATAGATACAGTGGAATAGGTAGGCATAGTCACCCTAGGACAGGAGTGGTATTATTTTCAAGAGGACCAGGTCAAAATAAAAGAAAACTAATGCAGCCACCTCATCCAAGGACTGGTAACTGCAATATATTAAAGACTCTGGCTTCCACCACGAATATAGAAAACAAAAGGCAACAGAGCGCCACCTCCGTGTATAAAATCGTTTATTAGGATTAATAAAACAAGGGATAAATGTACTCACAAGCAAACGTTTTCATCAGGCTTTAGCGACAAACAAGAGGCCACACTGTCTGTTAACCCACATGGTATCACCCTGACTATGCAACACGGTAGCCTCCGGTCACATCACCGTCCACTGGGCCGCAGTCAGCCAAGATTGACGCGTTTCAGGGGCAAGCCCCCTTCATCAGAATCATAGCTTGCTTACAAAGGTTAACAGGCTTACGAAAAAAACAGAAACCTGGGGGGCTGTCTGCGACTCAAAGTGCTGCATGAAGGACCTAACACTCAAAGCTGGCATCAGGTGGGGCCTGAATATCTGCCTGATAAAACTTAAGAAAAAACCCAGAACACCATGTGGTAGGACCTTGTGCACCTTAATAGAAAAAAGTGGAACCCGATTCTTAAGACCATGAGTTTGAATGATCGTCTGTCAGAATCACCTAGAGATGGTTAATAGAGAAATCGATGTACCCTTAAGGGGTCCATCCGGAATACAAGAAGAAATCAGGCCTCTAATAGATAATGGTCACGAGATAGACTCTTACAGTCTGAACCACATCCAGAAACTCACTCTTGGTGAACTGGAGCCGAACAGAAAGAAGGAAGAACAATGTTCTGGTTGATGTGTTAAGGCAAAAACTATCTAGGCAAAGGCAAGAATGAGGTTCTGGGCCTCAACATCACCTTGTCCCTAGGCAAAACAAAGAGGGGATATGTTACAAGATAGGGCCACCAATTCAGACAGCAGCTAACTTCCAATGCTCTTCTTTGTACAATGCAACCCTCCCAACTTAAGAAAACAAAGAGAGTAACAGTTATTGAAAGGTTACATGTAGACGTTAGCACAGCTCTGTCATTAGAATTGTTAGGAAAGTGTTTGCTGAGGACAGTTCTTTAAAAGGAGAACTATGGGGTAAGTGTTTTCCCCCATAGTTCTCCTGAGGGTCACAGGAGGACACAAACTAGCATCCTCCCGTCACCCTAGGCTCAGTATATCGTGAGCTACAGCTCGCGCTATACTGAGACCGCCGCAGCCGGGACGGATCCCGACATTAAGGTCGAGATCCATCCAGCAGCGTGATTGACAGCTGGCTCTGCCTATCTTTGAGGCAGAGCCAGCTGTACCCACCCACTCCCCTGTCCGTTCCACTAGTCAGCGCTTGAGGATCGGAGCGGAGAGGGGGAATCACTGCAGGGAGCCGTGAGTGACGGTCACTGCTCCCTGCAGGGAGATGATCGAGAAGTGAGCGAGCGACGGCATGTGTTCACTCACTTCCCGATCTATTGAGCCGACGTGTGACAGTTTCATTGTCACACGTCGGCTCGAACTATGAGGTTGAGTGAAAATCACTCACCTCATAGTTCTCCTTTAAATAGATACATTGAAGAACATTCAAATGTATTTTAGCTGCCAACAACTGGGCATGCAAACCAAACCCATTGTCTTTAGTGTTTTTTCTGACCTGCAACAATTAAACAGATCAGGGGTTTTGACATCACAACGACCCACCCTGCAGCATGCTTACTCCACGTCAGTGAAAAGTAGTGAAGCCATAGACTAGCCAAAAACTAGTATTTTTCAGAAGGGGGATCAGCAATAGCAACCGAATTTCATATAAAGAAATGTCCAGGTCATCATTTATATTTCCAGAATAAAATAAAAAGGAAAATATCATATTAATAAAATGGTAGACTTTTTAAAATAAGGTTATTTATAAAATGTACTGGATTCAGCAAAGATTAGCTGTATATTCAGCAGCAGTGCAATTGATGGACTTCTAAAACACATCCACCTTCAAGATTTACGAGCTTGCAATCTCTCTTCGTGAAATGAGCATTATCTCACAAATCAGTCTTGTCACCAATGTGTTTCCATTCTGCAGCCAGGTAAATTATTTAAATTAACATTTACCTGGAAAAGCTCTTTGAAGGAGGGATGTACAGCTGGGTTAGGGACGAAGGGGAGGGCATAAAACGGAAGAAATTCTGTAGTCTGGCTTAAAGCAGCACCACTGGTCTCCAGGTATGTTTTAAGATGAGAAATTCGCTCTTCACAATCGGCCCGATCCTAAAAATAAATAGCAAAAAAATTAAAAGGGAATTTATGACCTTTTTAGAGTTTTTTTTTTTTTAATCTTATACATGAAAATGTGATCACCTTACAGGGAACCTGTTCCTGAGAGAACAGGTATTCTACCACTGCTGTTGTGAAAATGTAATTACCTGGCTGTCATGATGATCCAATAGATTTAAAAACCTTCCGAGTCAGTGACGTGGAACGTATGAAAATCACCAGAGTTCACTCTGACTTTTTAATCTGACTGCTTTTATAAAAGTCAGTGGCTTAGAATGCACTGAAACCAGACACAACCAGGCAATTAAATTCTTAGAAAGGGACAGCAATGGCATCCCTGTATTTCCCTCAGTATATATTTCTTCTCATGTAAATAATCTAAAAAAAGCCTTTCTTATAAACTTTCTTCATGTATGGTGTTCATAGGACACATTACAAATGTAAAGTTTTGCTTTACTGTTCCTCTCTGTTCCTACGGCTGATACTTGCCATACACATTACAATTCTCCCATAATTCTGATCACAAAACTGTATAAAAAAAAAAAAAGTGATCTGCAGGAAATCATCTAAAGTTTCAATGTGAATTATTGGTGGTACGGTTGTAGGGTGGCCTGATCTGGTTGTTTCTAGGATCATAGGCTGGCTGAATGTGGGTAAAACTGCTTGAAAAGTGTTCTGTGTATCAGCAATCATAAGGTTGGACCTCACTGCCAAAAATGCTAATGTTAACTCCAAAAGGTAAGAATTCAGCGGTGCAGGCGTTCACTAGCTGGCAAAAAGCAATATCAGTCATGAGAAGCCCTAATCATCACACATATAGCTTTTCCAACAGTATGGGAATTCTTAGTGAAGCAAACAAACCTTCCCTTTTCTTGAGAGAAAAGGCAGGAAAGCATACTAATGTGCACACTGTTGATATATTGGTCTCCAGCACAGCAAGATGTCTAGTCAGTTAAAGTTCTAAGTGAGATCCAAAGGAAACCCATACAAATGTGATGCAGGTAAGGTGGTCCTGGTAGCAACTGAACCCAGGATCTCACTGAAAAACAAAAATGTTGACCACTTAGCTAGTCAGGTCTGAAAGTGGTTGGTTGCTGTGAACCAACACAGTTAAAAACCTTTGATAAATTAGACCCAGTGCAAAAAATTATGATCTGGTTTCTGCTTTCAGTGATGACTAGTGTCTGTGAACCCAGACCCCTTTCAGACCTCGGCCATTTCACTAGATCAGCGGCTTTTTACATGTGGGTCGCAACTCACTGTTGAGGGGGTCGCAGCATCCACTTCTGCTTCGCTAGGTGGGAGGCTACTCAGCCTCCTCCTAGCGCAGCAGTGTCAGCCAGCAGGAGGACAGCAAAGGCTGTGAATAGTGATGGGCTCGGGCGTGTTCGCAGCTCCACATGCCGAGCCCGCCAGGAAGCTGACAGCGCCAATTACAGGCACGGAGACATTTCCTGATCTCTGCAGCTGCGGACCGGGATAACGTCTCAGTACCTGTGATTGGCGCTGTGAGCTTCCTGGCGGGCTCGGCGCGTGGAGCTGCGAACACGCACGAGCCCATCACTAGCTGTGAATATAAAAGTGCCGCTACAAAACACTCCATGGCCGTTGCAGCGACATCTAGTGGCCGGGGAGTGTGTACAGCAGGGGTTTTCTATTCACAGCCGCTGCTGTCCTCCTGCCTCCCATACAATGTGAGCTCTGCAGGAGGCAGGCGTCTAAGCAGTGCTGGGGCTGAGAAGGCTGCATGGAGACAATGCAGGCAACAGGTAGCAGGGCCTGAGGAGGGTTTGTATTCTTGTGAGTGTGCTTCTATTTTTAGTCACAAGTCCAGTGCCTTACTAATTCTGGAGTCCAGCGCTCTGTTGGGGGTCACAACAACTTGGCAAATGTTATCAAGGGGTCCGGGCCCTAGAAAGGTTGAGAACCACTGCACTAGATCAAACTAAAATATTGCCAGTGATAATGAAAATGATTTTGTTCTTTGTCACTGGCATGTTGTTGGCTTTCTGCACTGCCAAAGAGAATGACTTAGTACTGAGAGCTCAGAGATGCCTGAGCAGGGTTTAAATGACCACAAGCAGAAGTTCAGCAATATATCATACAGGACAGAATCTTCACTATTTTCCAAAAAACTGAAATTTTCATAAAATAAAAAATTGGATACATTTGTCAGTTGAGAAAAACAGCACTTCTGCATACTGATCCAGTGACATAGTGACTAAACAATCTAACCCAACGTAAAGACAAAGCTGGTGATTAGAAGGATAGAAAAAAAACATTTGTAAAAAAAATTACAGAAAACTGAACATTTCCAGAATCCAATAGGAATGAACTATTACTGGTATTGTGAACTGAAGATAAGATAATTTTTCGGGTTTATGACCTATTCACGCATCTTGTATATAGTTTGAGCAGAAAGCATTAAGCGTGACAGGAAGCTTCAGGGAAAGGAGAATATGACAAAATGGGAGGCTAGGACATCAATAATCACACACAATAGACCATTAATACACCATTACATGTGGTTGGAGACAAGGATGTGAGAAGTTATCTCTAGTGGGCCAAGAAAAGCAAACCACTCCTGAAGCTGTGATAACATTTACTTATTTTAGCTTAATTTATGTATCAGTAACTTTATATATTGTGCCGACACCCTAGGGAAGGTCCATAATGCTAAATCAACACCCGTTTTTTAATCCAACTTACTCCTTTATTTTTGTGTATATGGATTCATGGCTCCAGAAAGAACGTGTTATTTACAATAGCAGCTTTAATTATCTAGACATTATATAATTAAATATTAACAACCGCGTACAAAGCCATCCACAACTCTGGCCCCGGCTATATCTCCAACCTGGGCTCAAAGTATTACCCTAAGCGTCCCCTCCGCTCTTCACAAGACCTCCTGCTTTCCAGCTCCGTCATCAACTCCTCCCATGCTCGCCTCCAGGACCTCACTAGAGTGTCTCCCATTCTATGGAACTCTCTACCCCAACCTGTCCGTCTATCTCCCACACTGACTAACTTTAGGCGATCCCTTAAGACTCATCTCTTCAGGGAAGCCTATCCCACCTAAACCTAACCACTGAACAATCACTTTCTCAAACAATCATCCCCGCGCAGCTACCTCCTCATGTATCATTTGCCCCTCCCTTTTAGATGGTAAGCCGTCACAGGCAGGACCCTCCTTACCATCTTGTCTTAAATTGTATTGTGACTGTAATGTCTTGCTTATATTGTAAAGCGCTGTACAAACTATTGGCTCTATATAAATCCTGTATAATAATAATAATTTTATGATCAGACACGATCATATGAAAGTGAATCCGACCAGACCTAAAATAACAACTTTATGGTGCCAGCAAACACCTGCGTTGATCTTCAAATTGACACCTGCCCCCCTTGTGGAGGCTTTTAGAAACTAGTACCAACCAAGCTGCATATGCGGCTTCGACTACAACCCACGTCAAACTTATACCCCACCACTTCCGAAAATGATGGCCTACCCGTTATTCAACTGGTAAAGTACTGTCAGCACTGGAAATTATATATCCTTTGGAAGGTAAAACAATAAACATATGTACTTCAACTCTGTACTTTAAATAACATCTACTTTTCCCTGTACATTAGTTTTCCTTAAAAAAAAATGTGGAAGATTATCGTGTGCTGGTTCTATAGTTTTTGAGCCCATCACTCCAGAAGAGGGTCATCTGTGCACCAAATTGGATTACAAGGATGCATGACAGGGGTGAGTTGGGCGCTTTGTGTTTCTATTCTATCAAGATAGCCGCCTCCACACAGCCACACAGTGCAGAGCAAGGCATGACAAGTCAGTAATGGGGAGAAAGATCAGTTGCAAGGAGACCACATGCTTTACTGGTGAATAGTCTTTTGAGAGTTTAGCTCCCCTTTGAAGGATTTGTTAACTATTATTATCGCTATTATTATTAATATAAAACACATACAATTCGGCTGGTATTGTTCTTTAGTGGGAAAATGGCAAAGTGGATGTGTAAGTAGAATTCTAGCTTCTGAGCCAAGGGGTCATTGCTGCGAGTCTCCGTAGGTACATGCTCTTCCCACTTGTCAAAAAATGTTTTCCGGTCCCCATCTTCAAAAGCACTGAGGAGGTCTTTCTGCAAGACATGATAATGCATCAGGTCAGATAAATAAAAGATATTAGATCCTGAACATCACATCATGGCGCAACACTATGTAACCTTGTGCATTTGTGCAGAAACACATTATACATAATTTTACATTTTAAGAGGCTGAAAAATAACAAGAGATACATTCCACCCAAGATATATACGCAGTGACCAGAAAACTAGAAACACCAATTTAGCACTGCATTGGGCCAGCTTTGGCCATAATAGTTGGCACACATCCAGGCAGTGGCTCCACAAGGGTCCTGTAGTATTGTTATGTTTAAGCCAATGAAAAAAGGCATCAGCAACTGCCAACAGCTGATGGGTGTAGGCTCCGTTGTCTTTGGAATGAACATCCGTTCATTAAAACCACTCCCAGAGTTTACCATGATGGCACTGAGTGGGAACTGGAATTGGTCAGACAAGATAATTTTTTTCAATGCACCAACTATTCAGTGTTGATGTCCCTCGGCCGACTAGAAATCCTTTCATCTGTTTAGCATAGACAGCAGAGGTTCCCCCCTGCTTAGTCACCTACTCGTTTCCAACATAAAGCTGGAAGGCAACACACCGTGTTTGTCATTCTACCCCAAAATATGTTTCAGATATTTCAGATATTAATTGTTTTACTATAGATGGCGAGTTGCTGTTATGGGTCAAGCCTCCAGACTTCCATGTTCGTCCGCCAAGGGATCCCTCCCACAAAGCAGATTATTTTCATAAAGTGCCTTGTGATCTGGTACAATGTTTAGAAAATGTTAGCTTTTCGACATGTGGACCCCCTTGTTTTAAATACCTTGAATCAGGAACCTTGAATAATAACTGTACAGATAAGGAACGGTCACTTTGCTCCAACTTTACTAATCTGCACAGTTGTTACAGGGCAGTGACTAAAAGTATTAAACCTATTTGACCAGTATAACAGACAGTCAACTAACACTTTCAGAAGAGGGTCAACAATGGATGCCCTCATATTTCTCTTGTACTTGAATCTCACAACTCTAGTCTTCCTGATTACATGGCTGCGCAGGAACTGGGGTCTAATGCAATGACAATGATATGTCTGACACCATATTAAAATTGAAAGTTGGAAAAACTTAACATTTAAAAGTAGTCATTAATATACAACACATCCATTGTGTAAAAGAACAGGAACTCTTTTACAATAAGATGAGGTCAAGTACACTTCTAAAATGTATTAAAGGGTTTAAGTGATTTCTCATTAGTCACTGTATAATTAGAAGCGATGTACTCTTATCATATCCTGTAACTGCACCCACATACACACCAGTGCCAATCCACTCGCCTCCACCACAGGAAGGATGACCTTATCCTAATTCACCCTCTCTTGCCTAAACGGAGAAGAATTAAGCAATATATTCTGACGGACAAGACATTTCCTAGCATTCTCCGCCCTGTCTGTAGAAGCTCCTACCAGAAGGTGAAGATCAGCTCAGACTGGGTGTTGCTGCATTTTAGCAGAAAGGCATCCCCCCAGTGTTAACATTCCACACATTGCAAGTCTATCTGCTCCAGAATTATTCATCACAACAGCTTCCATTTCAAACTACAATAAATGTCCAGTGATATTCTCCGGGGAAACTGTTAACAGTTTACAGCTCAGTAAACATATACATATGTAACATTCCCTAAACAAGAACAGGCTTTCTGTCAACAAGTTATAGAATATGAGTCTGTCCTAAGACATAGAGCCTAAAGTAAATTGTAAGGCAGGTACAGTGCCTTGTGAAAGTATTCACCCCCTTGGCGTTTTTCCTGTTTTATTGCATTACAACCTGGATTTAAAATTGATTTTTTTTTTAATGAGTTTTGTGAGTTTGCATTATGTGATGTACACAACATGCCTACCACCTCGTAATGCAATAAAACAGGAAAAACACCAAAGGGAGTGAATACATTTGCAAGGCACTGTATACATGGACACATGATCTTGCCTTATACTAGATCCATGGCTACCCATTAAGATAACATTTGTGCTGCAGCACGTCATTGTAAATGCATCTGCATGTACAGTTTTCTCTTACTCCCCACTGCCAAGACTCACAAATACATGTTGGTCCAGCCTGTGAGGTCCACTACATACAGCTTCCTCCTGGAGAGACAACACTGCTGCATTGGTCCTGAATTCAAAGCAGTATTGTCACCCTAATGTAAACTGCACCTGCTTCCCCTATAGTGGGATGAGAAGATGTTGCAGGAATTGCGGCCATCTGCACCGTCACTGTTGACTCACCTGATTCACGCCTGTAGCTTGTCAAGTAAAAATGTAGCCATTGCAAATGGCTTTATTTGTTTCTGCATTCCAAATGCTGACCTGTGTCAGAGAAAAACTTGCCTTATAGTCTCATATACATCATTCCTTCACTTAAACACTGATAAATAGTATGTGTTAAAAGCAAACGAAGAACAAACCTTTTTTGGCCATAGTTCTCTTTAGGGTCACAGGACGACATTTTTGTGACCCTAAATAGAACTACAGCCAAAAAAGGTTGCAGATGCGGACGGCCACAATTCCTGCAACATCTTCTCAGCCCACTGTAGCAATTTACAAATGTCCTCCTGTGACCCAAACCTCAACATATAGCGGGCTATATTGCCTGCTATATGCTGACAGCACAGAGCCGCTCTGCAGCCAGGAAGGATCCAGACAATATTGTCTGGAACCATCCCGCTACCTGATTGACAGCTGTCTCCACTTCTCAAAAGCCAGCTGTGCCCACCCCTCACCCATCCCTCCAGTCAGTGCTCGAGGAATGGAGAGGGGAGGGCAAAATCCCTGCGGAGAGCGGTGACTAACTGTACTTTTACCCCTACATGGTAAAAGTAGAATCAAATTCTCAAACTTTTTTTTAATATTGAATCCATATCAAACAAATCTACAGTACATTATAGTAACATTCTGCCAAGTGGAAAGAACAAAAGATCGGCCTAGGGGAAACTTGAATAGACAGCTATGTCTAAAACAGGGACCAGTCAGTCACCTGTGCAGGCTTGAGCCTAGCAATCCTAACCCTTGACTTCAGGGCAAGAAAGGACCATAATTTTGTAAGAGGTTGCTTGATCAGACATACGTTTTGCAATGTTATACCCATTGGTGTGACATCACTCACAGCACAACATCTTGATGGTTAGAAGGGAATGACCAACAGGGCAGGAATAAACTGACAGCTACTAAATCTGCATCCCCATGAAGGATATGGCTGGGTGATAAACAATATCCGCACTAACAGATAGCAGGGATTCGGGCATATTGGAACACTGCTTGGTGTATATGAACACCAGGATCAGAAGGGGTCCTTCCAACCAAACATCCAAAGTTGTTTCTAGAGCGTGATAGACCACACTGTAATCTGCCTAACTGCTTACCAATTATTTGATTCTTAGAATCATTAAAAACTTTCCCCTGAGGAGGGTATCACCTAAAAGTGAGGGGTAGAAATCCTAGTGCTACAAGTAGAAACTTGCACCTGATTAAGGCCTTGTTCACACCAAATGCAGAGCAGATCCGGTCAGGCTTCTGCACACGCACGCTAGTCTTTTAGACGCGTTTTTGGTTAAAAAAAAACAACATATTTTTTTAAGTTTAACATGGGCTTTCAGTGCGTTCCAGGCATTTGCATGCGTTTGATGCGTTTGCAGATCCAGAGCAGGTAAAATGGGGTCTGCTGCAGTTTTTTTACCTGCTCTGGATCTGCACGCTGCGATGTGAACTGGAGCTCAAAATACCATAGGAATACATTGGACGCAGTTTTGATCCGGTCTCCACCTGCTCTGCTCTGGATCTGCTCCGCGCTTGGTGTGAACTAGCCCTAAGGAAAGAAGGAAGCAATCTAAGGAGAATCCTTAAGAAAACTGCAGCTCCGCAGAAAGAGGCTTTATCTCTTAGGCTGGGTTCAAACCTAGGCGTATCGAATATGCGCGTTTGTCGCGTATTTCGTGCCGCGCGTTACTGCAATTCGCCGTAATAAAAACATGCGACAATCGCGCGTTTCCGAGGGCTACCTGGCGGCAAATACGCCCCAAAGAAGCTCCTGTACTTCTTTGGGCGTAGGGCGTTTTGCAGCGCGCTCCTACGCGCTGTAAAACGCCCAGGTGGGAACAAAGCCCATAGGCAATCATTGGTTTTCACATGTTGAGCGTTTTACAGAGCGTAGGAACGCGCTGTAAAACGCCCAGGTGTGAACCAGGCCTTAGTGATCATGTCCCACAAAGGCCTGTGAACTTACAGTTACCCATTGTGGAAATCTGCAGCACGGTCCCAGCATGTTGTGCTTGCTGACTGTCCAGGGCAATACAGAACCCTCCAGAAATGGATACTTTTTTCCAAGAAGGAAAAGAAGAACATCCAAGTGCTAAGCCCTCACCCTTCAATGTAGAGATTGTCCGTTGTGGGAGATTCAGAATGCAGGGATCAGGAGGGCGTAAGGGACAAAGCACAGAGGGTGGAAGTGCATAATGCACAGAGAACAAAGGACAAGAGTCCATAAGACACAGAACAAATGGATTAGGAGTATGTAATGCACACTGTGCAGGGGTCAGGAATATGTAATGCACAGAGCGCAGGGGTCAGGAGTGTGTGTGGCACAGAGCGCAGGGGTCAGGAGTGTATGAAGCATAAAGAGCAGGGGTCAGGAGTGTATAAAGCATAAAACGTAGGGGTCAAAAGTACGTAACTCACAGAATGCAGGGGGTCAGGAGAGCATAATGCATAAAAAATAGGAGTCAAGAATACGCAATGCAGAGCGCGGGAGTGTGTAACGCTCAGAGCGCAGGGCTCAGGAGTGAGTAGTGCACAAAGCATATGTGCCAAGAATATGGCACAGAGAGCAAGGTTCTAGAGAACATAACACACAAAGTGCAGGGTTTAGGAGTGCATAACACACAAAGTTCAGGGGTCAGGAGTGTACCAGAACCAGTGAGTGGTGAAGCAAAGTAAAAAAAAAAAAAATGAACAGCATCGCAAATGGAGAACCCAGGAGATGCTGGGCACGTGCCCCAAGTGCCCTACACGAGTGATGCCACTGCCCCAGTTTCTAGACTTGTGACTTTGATGTAATAAAACTAGATCTACTGTATATCAAGAGCTAAAGATCTTTATCGAAAGTTTGCTTTTTTCCTTTGACCTCTGATCATTTCCTGTACTGAAAGATGGTCTCACTGTTTATGTTAAACTAGATTCACCATCAAAGTGGACCTGTGCTGAAATGCCAATATAAATTTACATTAGGCATCTTCCTGGAAGATGGAGGAATCTCCAATGCTAGTCACAAGACAAAAAGCATAAGCCTTTCACTACATGATCTCTGCTGAAAAGGAAGATCGGGCAATCTGAATTCTGATCCTTCTCTTTAGCAGGCACCCCATGAATATATACACAGGCTTTGGGCCATGTAAATGCAGAACTAGAGGGAACAACATTTTCTCCAGGAAAGGCAAGAAGCTCTTTACCGGTAGTACTCATTACATATCCCAGCAAAACTGTTAATAAAGATATCAATTAAAGTGATATTAAAAAGGCAAACAAATGTTTCCCTCCCCCCCCATGTAAATGTTAGCACTTACCTTAAATGATGTCTCTTATAATGGTCTTCCTCTTCTTTCCGGATGTTTTCATGTGTCCCTCCAGCGGTGCGGCGTCTCTCCGATCCAGCACTGACTGCTCTGTCCCTCCGATCCAGCGGTGTCTGCAGGCGGGTACACGCGTCCATAGACTTACCTTGCGTCTCTGCTCGTCTCCCGGCCGAGAATCGGAACTGCGCATGCGCCCTCCCCAAGATCCTTTGCGGCCGTACGAGCAGTTCCTGATTCTCGGCGCGGGAGCGAGCAGCGATAAGCAAAAAAACCGGAGGGTTTAGAACCCCTTTAGGAATTGATTACAGACCCACTTTAAAGCAAACCTGTGGGTGGTATAAGTATGTTAAGCTGGCTTCTTTTTCGAGTTGCAGACTTCTTTAGGTTACTGAAAGGGCACAACAATTGTCAGAAGTCCTGGGATGTTTTAAAGGAAAATTGCAGAAATAGCTTGCATTTATGCCATGTGGCTTCCATGTAAAAAGCACAGGAGTTATGAATATATGGAACTTTATGGTGACCACGCAAGCAGTAATTGCAATTACCTTTAAAGTGTATTTCCACTTTCGCTGTCAAAATGATAAAAAAAAAAAAAAACAACACTATATGATGGTTATGTGTTCCCATTCACACAGAATACCTAAAAAATAATTTCTTACCTTTTAGATATTTCTTTGGCAAAGGTCTTTGTGCAGATTCCAGGCTACTCTGAGCAGTTTCAAAGTGAACATGGGAGGGGCAGACTGAGCATCTTCTCAATACCATAAAATACTTCTTCGGGGCCCAGCCAATCAAGTAGCCAAAGACTCGAAACCCGAAAGAAGACCAGGGGCGAGAAGGAAGCGCTGGAGAGGGAGAAGCGCAATGCTGGAGGGGGATCAGTTGGACCGGCAAGTCCGCCATGCATACTAGCACATTATGGCTAAAAGCTCCAGGCCCCCCTCCTTTTTTTTTTCTTAACACTTTACATCCGCTTTCACCCTTTGTTAGGACAGACAGTGTACAAATCTAGTTTATAGCTAATAATTAAATATGCCAGCACAGTACCGACAGGGTTAATTAGAATAAACATAACTTCCCACAGCCCTCTCCTTAACATTGCATTGCGGGGAAGCTAGGTAGGATTTTTTATGCAAGTAAGAAGCACTTAAACATGTAAAGGAGCAATTTTTAGATTTTCTTTTTAAAGTTATGCAATGGGAAAATGTAAGAAATATAAAAGTAGGTGTTTTCCCAATTTGGCTGCAAAAAAGTAAATACACTTTAAATAGCACTCCAGAATTTCAGGCTTCTGGTGTACTCTCTAATATGTGTGCAGGAGCCAGCTTAACGTGCCTAAACCACATACCGACCCACAGAATGTTTTTACTAGTGTGATTTACATATTACTGAATTAGCTTTACAAACAGTTAAGACAATAAGCATAAAAAGAATTTACCAACCTGTATTAGTAATGTCTTAGATTCTCTTGCAGCAGATCCATCACTTTTTGAGAGTGGTTTTCCTTTACTTTTACACTCTTTTGTGAAGCTTTTCAAGGTGTCATTGAATTCGCCAAAGCTTAGGAACTGATAAACCACACAAACATAATTCAGCAAAGTAATACAGTACAAAGAATGCATAAGATTCATAAAAACATATGTTTATAAATGAAGCATGGGTATTTTCCGGTTACCAGTTTTCCCCAAACCTTTTATCACGTTTCACTGTGGTTAGGTTGTATTTAAGTTAATTACTTGAGGAAACAGGGATCAATTAGTGTAACATAAGGATTTATGTATATGAGGAAAGCCACGTAGGCTGTTTTCAGGCACATTTTGTAAAACGGAAGCCAGAGCATAAAGTGATTGTTTGATGAGGGGCCCAATGCAGGTCATGGGAAGACTAACATTGGTTCTGCACATTGAGCAAAAAAGATTTATGCTGTACAGACTCATACACACCCTCTTCAATCACCACATATGTATATAAGGCCATTTTCAAAGGAACCAAAAAGAAAGGGAACTCCACATGCCCAATATTCTTTACATTTACTCTTTTCAATACAATGCTGTCAAAGTGAGTAGGAATCATCACAGCCTTTTGACATTTCCAAGTAGTCAATCAACCTGCGTGAATTTAGACCTCAAGTGTCTATAGCAAGTATCAATAATGAACAAGAGAAAATGACAGCCAATGGCTAGAAGTTTTTTTCATAAAAGCCAAATTATTATCAATGTATCATACAGTATTCTATCAGTGCTTTATTAAAGCATCTTAAAAATACATTCAAGTGCCTTAACTATTAACAAAAATGTATCACTCAGCTGTAGATCCTCAAATCATCTCTTCTGTTCTTCATGGTCCCTGTGTGTGTTGTAAAGTAGCCACCGCTCCAAGCTCACTCCCGTGATGGACTACAATCTCACGTTTAGTTTACCAATTTGTATTGTGATTTAAGTCCATCACAGGAGCGAGCTTGCAGTGGTGGCTACTTTACAACACATACAGGGACCATGGGGAATACAAGTAACCCCCCTCCAAAAGGAAGGACGGTGTCAGCCCCAATTCAGAGATTTGAGCACCTACAGCCACTACATTTTTGTTAACAGTTAGGCCCCATTCACACTGAGCGATTTATGGAGCGATTTTTGCAGCGATATCGCTCATATTTCCACGCGATATCGTTCTATGTAGCTTCTCCAATCCATTTCAATGGAGCTGTTCACATCTTGTCGCTCAATATCGCTTGTAGCTCGTCGCTGGTAGCTTGTCGCTCCTACATGACCCTTTTTTAGAGCGATTTTGAGCGATATTGCTCCTGATTGCATACAGCCCAATAGGAAAAAGTTGCGCGACAGGTCGCTCAATATTGCTCGTCGCGCAATATCGCTCAAAGTCGCGCGATTTTCATGGCGCTCAGTGTGAATGGGGCCTTAAGGTATGAATGCATTTTTAAGATTTAACTTTTCAGTTTAGTGTCACTTTAAATGGTTTTACTTCTATAAAAGATACTGTAGATGCAGAAGACACACATTTCTATCTTTAGTGTCACTAATGCTATAGCTTGTTACTGCTGAAAAGAACTGATAGTGCCATAGTAAGCTATAATTTACCATAAAGGCAGCTTTCAACCTCAAGAACCAATATATTTGTGTATGCCTTTTGCAGCCTGCTTTTTAAAAAAAAAAACCTTAATCAGTTTGTATTGCAACCTTTAGTTCCCAAGACCAAACTTTAAAAATAAAAAGATTTTTCCACTTAAGTTTCCACTTTTCCATGTCATCCCAGTTCACTTCACTGTTTATGTATGTTCCAGTAGAGAGGACATTTGTCTCTGTTACTCAACTTTCCCAGTATTATAAAAAAAAGGAAACACAGATGTAGCACAATGGTTTTCCTACCATGCAATGATCATATGGCTATTTCTAAAAAAGTAGGCAATATATTTCGTGACAAGCATAGGAGAACCTACCAACACACAAAGTAAAACAAAATTATACATACCTCTTTCACTAATCCAAGTAAATCTGCTTCATAGGCCAAAATATCACCCATTTTTTCACACTCCTATTACCTTCCACATAGAAAGAAAGTCTGAAAGGGTAAAAAAAAAAAAAAAAATTCTTTATGAGCTCTTTATCCTAACACAATACTACAAAACAAATTAGACATTTTAAGAAGATAGAAATACTGTAGCTAAAAAAGTAAAAAACAGGCAGTCTTACCTAAGCACTCTCCAAGCAACTTTCTTCCCTGGGATCATGGGCCTGTCTGTCGGCAGCTGCCACCCCCCATGCCTGCCCCTCCTGGCTTCAAGTTCAGTGTCCCTGTGACGATCGTGGATGGTGTTGGCGGGCAGCGGCGAGTCAGTGAGAGCTCAGAGCTGGGTGAGGTAGGAAGAAGAAGTGGCGTGCGGCACGTGTGGAGCCGCGGGCAGGGCAACTAATCAATGAGCTGCCGGCTCTGTTTGTTCGAAGGTTTTCCAACCAGCCCCTTCAATCAGCTGATCAGAGGATGCTGGCCAAAATGGTGCCAACAGCGGCACCCACTGTGCAAAATTTGGCTGGTTCATCAAGAACCAACCAAAATTCGCATTGTGTATTGCCAGCTTTACATGTTTTTTGTGCTAACTCCGGCACTGAAAAATCCTGTTAAGTTCTCACTGACGGGTTGGGGGAGGAATTTTCTTCCAAATAATTAACCCTGTCTGTACTGTGCTGGCAGACCTCATTATCACTTGTAAACCAGAAGACCAGGTCCTGGTCTGTCAAAGTGTTGAAGCACAGAAAACATTGGGTGGATTTTATCCAAACTGGAGCAGACTAAATCTGGAGCAGCTGTGCATGGAACCAATCAGCTTCTCTCTTTCATTTTCAAATCTTAACTGAACAAACTGAAGAGAGAAGCTTATTGGTTGCCATGGGCAACTGCTCCAGATTTTGTCTGCTCCAGTTTTGATAAATACCCCCTAATGCATACTAATGAGGAGATGCTCCATCTGTCCTAGGTCTTTCCATTAGGACAGTCAGAGTTTGATGTTGCCGAAATTGAGAGGAGCATGCTAAATAGAGATATCTGAAAAGGTAAGAAATTTTTTTTTTTTTTTAATTATTTTCAGATATGCTATGTGTATATGAACAATTAAACATATAGGGGTTTTCTCAGTTTTTACTGCAAAAGTGGAAATACACTTTAAGATTTAGACGTCAAACTCACGCAATAAACGTCTGGGAGTCTGTGAAATCAGGCTCTACTTCACAGGTCAGCGGACAAAGTCTCAAAACACATGGACTAATTTTTAAGTCTTTATTCTCCACAATGTCATTAACCAAACTTTAGGGGGGGGGCTTGCTTTTGATCTCTACAATTGTTATACTGTTACTATGAGAACATATGTAAAAAGACATTCCTCGACACGGTCCATGACCTGCTAAGATCTCCGCCTGGCTCTCAGTGACCATGTTAACAAGGTTTTTTAAGCGTGTGTAGCCCACAAGTTTTATTATGTCTGCAAGTAGGGTTGCACAGATACCAAGTACAGTACTCGGTACAAGTACGAGTACATGTACCGATACTTTTGAGCTCCAGGACTAGACTAGAAAAAAATCCAGAAGTTAGGAGTCAGCTGTCATTTGTAAGGAGCACACGGAGCTCCTGTGATTTGTACATCTCTGTTTTAATGTACGCTTTTGTTTTTATAAATATAAATAAAGTGATGCACAGATACCAGTTTTGCGAGTACGAGTACTGGTACTTGCCGAGTACTTACAAGTACTGATACATTTTTGTTTATTGTCATGTGACAGTTTTTCTAAAACAATACAGACTAATGATTTCAGGACAGTGGTGGAGCGCCAGAGCCTGGTCCCAGCTGCAACCGCTGCAACCCTGGTAGTTCTCATGAAAATGCCAAGTATCTGCACTGGTACTCGAAAAGTATCTGTGCATCCCTATCTGCAAGGTTAGTTGTTTATGTGTCCTTTCACCTACTGAGAATGTATTTATCTCCAGCTATGCCCGGCAGACAGACATTTTTGTATACCTGGTTTGACTTATGCGGATTCCTAAATAAAGAAAAAAAAAAGACATTCCTAGATACTCCAGTACATGGATAAACCAATTAACGGAAAGTACATTTCTGTGTTGGCGTTCACCACTGGGCAGTGTTTAAACAGGCATAATGTTACTTCTGGAATTCTTGTCTCCAGCGCAAAAGGTGTAATTTTACTTTTGGTGGATTTATTGGATTAGAACTGCTTGTACTGAACAAGGGTACAGAATTAAACAACAGAATGGTGTTCTGTACAGTTGGTTAGTAATACAGACTGAAAACTATACAATTTGATTACATCATGCAGTAACTTTGTTATGCTTTGTCTGCCACTTCTCAAATAATTATATAGCTATTGGGACTACAATGACCCTTAAACCAACCAAATCATAAATATGTGCCACGTCAGCAGCCAATAGATTTATATCAGGAAGTAGATTTACAGAGAAAAGCTAACAAACCTCAGGGAACCATCGTGAAGTAAATCAGTTTAATTATGATTTGTACTTAACACATGGATATAAACAGAACAAGTAGAAAAGAGTAGATACTGGCGTTTTAATTATTCAAATTGAAGCAGCTGCCTTAGGTCCCATGCTTGCTGGGGACCTCGCAGTAGCCTTCTTGGGAACCATGTGGCGCCTGTGTACAGTGCTTTTGCCGGCCTGCCCCCTCCTGAGACCCACAGAGCAGAGCGTCAGCACAGAGAATGTACAGGTATGGTGCAGCAAAACTGCACCTGAACTCTACAGCTACTTAAGCAATATTGCCTGCTGTCTCTGTCCTGTGCTTTATTCTGCATTATTGTATAATGTACTGCTGGGATTTGTAGTCCTCAAGAGCTAATGGTATTATTCTGCATTGATGTATAATGTATTGCTTGGATTTGTATTCCTCTATATCTGATGCAATTCTGCATTGCTATACAATGCATTACTGGGATTTTTAGTCCTCTGTAGCTGGAGGCATTTGCATTGCTATATAATGTATTGCTGAGATATGTAGTCCCTCTGCAGTTTGGAGTCAGTAGCAGAACTACCAGGGTCGCAGGTGCAACCTAGCCCTGGTTCTCTACCTTTGTCCTAAAATCATTCGTTTGTATTGTTTTAGAAAAAACTGTCACATGACAATAAAAAGGAAAAGGTCATTGGTATTGGCGAGTACTTAAGAAAAAGTATCAGTACTCGTACCCGGTCTGGAAAGAAAAATTGTATGGTCGGTGCATTCCGCAATCATAGGACTTATAGAAGACCAAAGAGAAAGAGGACCCAGCAAATAACATGACCAGACAGAAGACTATTGAAAAAAAAATAAAATAAAAGCAAGCCCTCCGGGTGGGAGGAAGGATGGCCTCGAAATAAGAGCACCAACTTTTAACATCCCCTTCTACATCCATCTGATCTAACTCCATTCAACTGAAAACAGATTACCACACTTTGCACTGTTTATTTGTGTCATCTAGTTCCACAGTGTCCTAGACTAAAATATGACCCACTGAATTTACCTGAATAGGCCTTTATATATGCCATGGCATACAGAAGCAATTGGACACTCAAGGCATTCTTGGCACAAATCATTTTTAGAAGGGCAAGCATGAACAGATCTCTATCTTGTTTTATTATGGTACTGATGACATATTTGGCAAAACCACTGTGTAAATACTTAGGCGTCTTCCAAGATTTCGGGATGATTGGCTCTGATTTTTATCTAAAGTATACTAACAAAGATAGCCTTATGAAACACACACAAAATGTTACATTGCCGTATCTTTAGTCAACAAAACAGTTTAAGCAATCTTATATTACAGCAGAACTGCAACCTCCTATCTCCGACAGCCAAGGAAGGGGCCATCTTAGCCTCTATTTGGATTTCACTTGCCATGGTGCTGCACAAGTGATCAGCTATGACACCAGCCATTTGAGGGCTTGAAAGTTGGTTTGATAGCTGAAATAGGCACACTGACAACCCTGACAGTTGGCATGCCTTAAATGTAAGTGTTTGGGAGACTACTGGTGGGTAAAGTTCCTTTTTAAATGAGAACTATGGGGTTAGGGCTTTTCCCCGTAGTTCTTCTTAGGGTAACGGGAGGACACAAACTAGCGTCCTCCCGTCACCCTAAGCTCAGTATAACACGAGCTACAACTCGCAGTATACCGAGACGCCGCAGTATACCGCAAGCTGCTGCTCGCGGTATACTGAGACGCCGCAGCTGAAGCGGATCCCGACAATTATGTCTGGATCCGCCCAGCTGCGTGGCAGCTGGCTCTGCCTATCTAGAGGCAGAGCCAGCTGTACCCACCCCCTCCCCCGTCATTTCCGCCAGTCAGCGCTGGAGGATCGGAGCGGGGAGGGGGGAATCCAGCCCCTCCCCTGTCACAGCAGAGGGCCGTGACAGGATCGAGAAGTGAGCGAACGCCGGTATGTGTTCGCTCACTTCCCGATCTACTGAGCCGACCTGTGACAGTCTCATTGTCACAGGTCGGCTAGAACTATGAGGTGAGTAAAAAGCACTCACCTCATAGTTCTCCTTTAAGTAACTGGTAGAATCTGCTTTTGCATGTATAACCTCAATCAAAAGTTTTCTGCAGCTGCTAAGACCTCCTTTCAACACATACATATTTTATGGAAGTTTTATTAAATAGGTCTTCAATCATTGAATATTAGATAACAGGCAGACACCCCAATATTCTGCCATCCCTTCTGATGATCCAAATGTATTTCTACTGCAATAGAGCAAGACATCTGGCCAATGGCATGGCAGAACTGCTAAATACAACCATATCCTCTGCACCATTCCTTACAGCTAGGATGAGCTTTTGAGGTTTGTAGTGTTTTGTTTTATTCTTGACCTCACAACACCTCTGTCAGACCCTGAATTAAAACTCTCTTCCTCCTTTTCCGAATACAGTAACAGAGAAAGCAATATTTCCTTTATTGTAACAAGGTATAGGAATGAATATTATGAATGGACAAAGTAGGATTGATCCTTAATGGTCTTGTCCTTAACTGAACTGACATGATGTGACAACATGACCTAAAGTGAGGAGTTCATTCAAGGCTGCCCAAAACATCAGCAAGGTAAAACAGTTCTGTAAAGAAGAGCGTGCCAAGATACCCCCGAGCCAATGTGCTAGTTTGATCAGCAGATATGGGAAATGTTTTCATGAAGTCACTTCTGCTTAAGAAGGTGCCAGCTGTTACTATACCTTAGACTTTATTAAAGTTACTTCACTTCAAGGTGTCTGATAAAGATCAGCAAAACATATTTAAGAAAATAACCAAGTAATTGGTACTCCAAATTAATAAATAAGTAAAGGCTATTTAAATGTGTTCCCAAAATCCATTTCATTTAACATACTAAACCTCTTCTAGCCCTAGTCCAACTATCAGGCAAATTCAACATTGTACGGCATTGGACGCGGCCGGGAGGGGAGGTGAGTCACAGGACCCGCCCCCTCACTGTGAAGCCCGTCGGCAGTGCGGGGCCCCGGTGTTCAAACACCGGGACCCTGCACTGCCCCATATTGCAGGACCGGACCGCACTGAGACTGTGCGGCCCGGTACCGGGGGTTGGGGACCACTGCTGTAAACAATCGGAAGCTGTAAGTGTTCTAATTACAGTCAACAATAACAAAAGCTGGACTTTTGCTTGCTTTGGTGTGTTTTACAGCACTTCCCTCTAATCCATTAATAAAGGGAATGCATAGAAGATTTGTTCATATTTTGGTCTGATAGTTTAAGGAGTAAAATATACTCTTCCCAAAACTTAAAGCCTGCGTGTGACACTGCAGCAGTCTCGTGTAGGCTCCATATACTGAGAAATAAGCCATAATGTAACCGCTGATCACTCAGCTCACGATCTTCTACCAGCAGAGAGTCGTGACTGTTAGTCACGCTCTTTACAGGGATTCCCCCTCCCCTCTTTGTTCTTCCAGTGGTCATTGGAAGGACAGACGGGAGGGGGTGAGCACAGCTGGCTCTGACTCTAGAGAGGCAGCGGTCACTCAGGCAGCAGGGTGGATCCCAACAATATTGTCAGGATCCTTACCTGCTGCAGTGCGGCTCTGCGCTGTCAACATATACTGGAGCGGGAAGTAGCCCGCTATATGCTGACTTTGGGTCTGAGGAGTACATTAGTAAATCTACTCCTGTGACCCAAAAGATCAATAAACCCAATAAATGGTTTGGCCTGAAACACTAGCGGAAAACAGGGCTATAGTCACACCTCTGTGCTTTGGTGCTGTATGGTGCTTAAAAGAGAACTAAAGCCAAAACATTTTTGGCTCAAAAGAGTACGTTTATAAATGTGCTCCTGTGACCCAAAGTCAGCATCTAGTGAGCTACTGCCCGCTATATGCTGACAGCGCAGATCCGTGATGCACCTGGGAAAGATCACGACAATATTGCTGGCATCCACACCCCACTGCCTGACTGACAGCTGGCTCTGCTTCTCTAGAGCCAGAGCGGGGTGTGCATGACCCATCCCGTCTGTCCCTCCAATAAGCACATGGGAGGGAAAAGACCATGAGCTGAGCGATCAATGGTTCGTGATCACTCAACTCTTGATCTATAGAGCTGGCATATGACACCTGTAGTGTCACACGATTGGGCGGGGCGGGAGCTGTGGCCGGCTAAAATTCAGTTTATGTGCCGCTACCCCGAAAGTAAGACCTAGCGGATTTCTGCAATATAAGACCTAACACCGAACTAGGTCTTATTTTCGGGGTAGGTCTTATATTACAGAAATCACTGAAGATAGCGCTAGGTCTTACTATCGGGGTAGGTCTTACTTTCGGGGAAACACGGTAGTACTGGGAAGAGTACATTTTACTCTCCCGTCTGGATACAATTCTGTCTGGATACACCCAGCTGCGTGAGTGACAGCTGGCTCTGCCTATCTAGAGGCAGAGCCAGCTGTACCCACCCCTCCCCTGTCCGTTCCGCCAGTCAGCGCTGGAGGATCGGATAGGGGAGGGGGAATCCCTGCAGGGAGCCGTGAGCGACTGTCACGGCTCTCTGCACGGATAGATCCAAAAGTGAGCGAGTGCCGGTATGTGTTTGCTCACTTCCCGATCTACTGAGCCGACCTGTGACAGTTTCATTGTCACAGGTCGGCTCAGATTATAAGGCTGAGTGAAAATCACTCACCTCATAATTCTCCTTTAAAATGGGGAAACTTCTCCATAGTACAGCTGTTAAAAGGAAACATCCTGTTTGCTGCATCCTAGAGGTGCATAGCTATATGTTACATGCATATAAAAGCACCACATGAAAATTGCTCTGTGGACTGTAATGATTTATAGAGCAATCTGTCGCACTCAGCCATCAGGACTATTATATGGTGCCTCTATGTCCAACCACCCTCTAAAGTTAATGGGCAGCCTTAGGCCAGCCAGAGGCAATGCAAACCATTTTCCTAAACAGTCCTACTGTGTTGAGAGACCATAGCAATGACAAAGTTGTATAGTGGATAACAAATGAGCAAAAAAAAACTATTAAAGCATAAAGTGAATTGTGATTAACTGCCATAGGTTTTACTGGATAAATAAGTAATGAAACCACTTAAAATGTATATAAAAAGGAACAAAACATTTTTTTCTTGATTCTCAAATCATCTCTGAATTCATGCTGACACTGTCCTTCCTTCTGGAGGGTGTCTACTTTTGTTCCCCATGGTCCCTGTGTGTGTTGTAAAGTAGCCACCGCTCCAAGCTCACTCCCGTGATGGACTACAATCTCACGTTTAGTTTACCAATTTGTATTGAGATTGTAGTCCATCTCAGGAGTGAGCTTGCAGTGGTGACTACTTTACAACACACATAGGGACCATGGGGAATACAAGTAACCCCCCTCCAAAAGGAAGGACAGTGTCAGCCCCAATTCAGAGATTTGAGGACCTACAGCCACTACATTTTTGTTAACAGTTAAGGTATGAATGCATTTTTAAGATTTAACTTTTGAGTTTAGTGTCACTTTAAATGGTTTTACTTCTATAAAGTATACTGTAGATGCAGAAGACAAAAAATTGTATCTTTAGTGTCACTAATGCTAGAACTTGTTACTGCTGAAAAGAACTGATACTGCCATAGTAAGCTATAATTTACCATAAAGTAGTCACCCTCCAGAAGGAAGGACAGTGTCAGCTCCAATTCAGAGATGATCTGAGGATCTACAGCTAAGCGATACACAAGTAAGATATTTTTGTTAATAGTTAAAAGTTCTTGAATGCATTTATAAGATTTAACTCCTGAGTTTAGTGTCACATTAAGTCAGCAACATGCATATGTAAAAATCTGGTTATACAGTCCCTACAATGCACATGCTGACCTCATCTGCTGCTGCTGCAACACAGGGAGAGAGCGCACTACACATGCACAGGTTTTAAATGAGCCAGAGCACCTGTGGCATAGGGGGTAAGCGCCCAAGGTCTAATGCATCCTCCCATCTAGGCAGTATGGGGGCACCTTACCTGTCCTTTTTGGACAGGCTGCACACGGCATACAGGTATGCCACTGAAAAGGAGCTTAGTTTACAAAATCTGAGCAGTGTTTTGTTTTTTTTAAGCCTCTTGCTCTGCACTCTTCCCACTGTTAACCCTCTGATTTCAGGTAGTGGGTAAATCCTGGTGTACATGAAAACAGTTGAAAACAGTTGGTTCTGCATTGATACCTGTACAGCCACAGCTTCAGCCAGCCTGTCATTGATTTGTTCAGGCTGGCTATACACTGCTGTATTTATACCTGTCACCCTCAACCAGAAAAATACTCTAGATGTGTGTTGTATGGCCCTCTTGCGATCATGTGCTAGAGTCCTAAATGTACTAGACATCGGAATGCATGGGCAATTTTATTTTAAAGGTGAACTAATCTTTTAAGCCAGCAACACACATATGTCAAAATCTGGTTCTACAGTCTCTCCAATCTTCATGAATGATGACGTCCCACGGCCTACCTAAACCATTCATTCAGTGTGTATCCAGAAAGTCCCCGGTACTACATAATGGTCAGTAAATCGTATGAAGGGCAATCCGTTTATAGTGTGTGGGCACTTTCTATATCTTCTGTTATCCTTACCAGGGCCGTAGATAATTTTTTTCCCTGTTTATATTTCATTAAAAAAATTGGTAATTTGTTGTGTTTTGGGGCATTTAATTAAATTTGTCACTAAATTTTGGGGTTTAATAAGGAGTTGCGCTAATATTGCGCAACATAAAAATTTTCAACTACCACCATTTTATTCTATAGGGTCTTGGCATTCAGAAAATATATAATGTTGGGGGGTTTTACGTCATTTTCAGGCCTAAAATGTGGAATATAACATGGGTGCAAAAATTGAAAAAAGGGCCTCAGTCATGAAGGGGTTAAGGAGAACAGGAGAGATAGGTGGTCGTTTAGGGACGAACTGTCACTGTATTGGACTACAATTCCCTTGAACACCGGATCACTTTCCTTTATCTTCAAAGTGATGTAAGGATTATCTTGCAAAACAGTGTCCTAAACGGACATATGTAACATAGTTCAATCACTCACGTTATTGGAGTTTCTCAAGGTCCAAACGATTCTGATCCAGTGGTCCAGTTATGAGGGTGTATGTCCCATTTCTTTAAGGAGTATATCGGTGTCACCGGCACAGTTGGAAGATGACAGGCAGAAGCACTTAGCACTTTTTCTCTGTATCAGAGGGTCTTTAGGGTAAATTGTTCACCGTGATCTATGACGTGTGAAGGAATGTCACCCCGTTGTTTGCCGTCACTTCTGCCGAGCTGCGGTAACTATGTGCTATAACGAAATTCCAACCGATTTAGGCTCAACACCCTGAATGGACCGACTCCAGAAAGGCCTCGAGCATCGAACGCAGCCACAGCAGACGGTTACAGCGTAACCAGGGTAACGCTCCACTTCCGGTGTTGTATCGAAGTCTGTTCCCCCCAGCCGCTCGGCTATTTCCGTAACAGCTTTTCCTCCCTTCAGCTGCATATCAATCTACATAGACCCGCCTCCGCCCCGCCTCTCTGGAAGCTCCGGTTTTCAGTTATTTAGAGAGGACAGTGTGTGCGATGTGATCGCTGGACTCTGCCCGATGAGATCGTCTGTCCCTCACATTCCTCCACAGTCTTATGCTGATGTCCTCTTCTATTCTCCACAGGATAAAACACAGGATTCCAAATAAACATTGTTTTTATTTATCTGTATTTGTGTGTGGTATATGTGTGTGAATGAGAATTTAACACAGACACATGTGTATATAGAGTCCTCACTTTCTGCTAAATTCCAAAATGCTTATAATCCGCAACGCTCGTCATAGTCTGCAGCGCTCATCATAATCCGCACATCATAATCCACTCATCATAGTCCGCTCTTCATAGTCCGCAGCGCTCATCATAGTCCGCTCTTCATAGTCCGCAGCGCTCATCATAGTCCGCTCTTCATAGTCCGCAAACGCTCATCATAGTCCGCTCTTCATAGTCCGCAGCGCTCATCAGAGTCCGCTCTTCATAGTCCGCAGCGCTCATCATAGTCCGCAGCGCTTATCATAACTAGCAGCGCTTGTCATAATCCGCACATTGTCATAATCCGCACATCATAGTCTGCAGCGCTCATCATAATCTATCATAATCCGTTCATCATAGTCCGCAGCGCTTATCATAATCCGCAGCGCTCATCATAATCCACAGCGCTTGTCATAATCCGCAGCGCTTGTCATAATCCGCAGCGCTTGTCATAATCCGCAGGGCTTGTCATAATCCGCAGCGCTTCTCATAATCCGCAGCGCTCATCATAATCCACACATCATAACCAGCAGCGCTTCTCATAATCCGCAGCGCTTATCATAATCAGCAGCGCTTCTCATAATCCGCAGCGCTTATCATAAACAGCAGCGCTTCTCATAATCCGCACATTGTCATAATCCGCACTGCAGATCATAGTCTGCAGCGCTCATCATAATCCACAGTGCTTCTCATAATCCGCAGCGCTCATCATAATCCGCAGCGCTTATCATAATCAGCAGCGCTCATCATGGTCCGCTCATCATAGTCCGCTCATAGTCCGCAGGGCTTATCATAATCCGGAGGGTTTATCATAATCCGCACATCATAACCAGCAGCGCATCTCATAATCCGCTCATCATAATCTGCAGCGCTTCTCATAATCAGCAGCGCTTCTCATAATCCGTACATTGTCATAATCCGCACATAGTCTGCAGCGCTCATCATAATCCGCACATCATAACCAGCAGCGCTTCTCATAATCCGCAGCGCTTATCATAATCAGCAGCGCTTTTCATAATCCGCTCATGATAATCTGCAGCGCTTCTCATAATCCACAGCGCTTGTCATAATCTGCACATCATAATCCGTACATTGTCATAATCCGCACATCATAATCCGTACATTGGCATAATCCGCACATCATAATCCTTACATTGGCATAATCCGCACATCATAGTCTGCAGCGCTTATCATAATCCACACTTATAATCTTAATCCATACAACCGATTGTAATCCATACTGCTCATTGTAATCAACAATGAGAATCTTAATCAGCAATACTCCTTATAAGCATGCCCCACACCCCAGATAGACCATCCTCACTGTTCCTCAATTCATCAGACCCTTGTTGTCCAGGGGAAACGGAATCTGATAGCAGGCTGACATTTGCTATCATATTTGGTTCCCCATTCCAATATGGCCTCTACGCCATTACAAGGGTGAAAATCAATTGTGAATGCCACCTCTGAGTGCCCCACACCCCAGATAGACCATCCTCACTGTTCCTCAATTCATCAGACCCTTGTTGTCCAGGGGAAACGGATTCTGATAGCAGGCTGACGTTTGCTATCATATTTGGTTCCCCCCTCCAATATGGCCTCTACGCCATTACAAGGGTAAAAATCAATTGTCTCGCCGGGCCGCCTCGTCACTGGGCGCCGCGTCCCTGCATCAGACGGCCCAGCCAGGACCGGACCGCGGCCCGAGTTCCGACACCCCCCTCCAATATGGCCTCTACACCATTTCAAGGGTAAGGATCAATTGTTTATGCCACCCCTGAGTGCCCCACACCCCAGATAGACCATCCTCACTGTTCCTCAATTCATCAGACCCTTGTTGTCCAGGGGAAACGGATTCTGATAGCAGGCTGACGTTTGCTATCATATTTGGTTCCCCCCTCCAATAATGCCTCTACGCCATTACAAGGGTAAAAATCAATTGTGAATGCCACCCCTGAGTGCCCCACACCCCAGAAAGACCATCCTCACTGTTCCTCAATTCATCAGACCCTTGTTGTCCATGGGAAACGGAATCTGATAGCAGGCTGCCGTTTGCTATCATATTTGGTTCCCCCCTCCAATAATGCCTCTACGCCATTACAAGGGTAAAAATCAATTGTGAATGCCACCTCTGAGTGCCCCACACCCCAGATAGACCATCCTCACTGTTCCTCAATTCATCAGACCCTTGTTGTCCAGGGGAAACGGATTCTGATAGCAGGCTGACGTTTGCTATCATATTTGGTTCCCCCCTCCAATATGGCCTCTACACCATTACAAGGGTGAAAATCAATTGTGTATGCCACCCCTGAGTGCCCCACACCCCAGATAGACCATCCTCACTGTTCCTCAATTCATCAGACCCTTGTTGTCCAGGGGAAACGGAATCTGATAGCAGGCTGCCATTTGATGTCTGAATTGGTTACACCCTCCAATATGTATTCAACAACATTGCCAGTGTTAATAGGTGGTATTCTGCATTGCTGTATAATCTGTCACTGAGTTGTATAGTCTCCTATAATCATTAGCAGAACTTACAGGGTCACAGGTCTTGCAGCTCAGAATAGGCTCTGATCCTCCACCACTGCCCTACAATTATAATCCTCTATTGTTTTTTTTCAATATGTCACATGTCACTTTTAAAAAAACAGTCATTGGTATGGGTTAGTACTTGTGGGGCAATCTGTGAACCTGGATTACTTGCCATGTAATAAGTGTTTTGCTACTGTTAAGAGAGTATCTTAGTCATTGTACTATTATTAAATGCTATATGATTTTGTTACCGTAAGCACGAGGGTGCATTCATTGAACTCAATGGCAACGCAGCTGCGCCCTCCAGCCTGCAATGCCATTGGCAACACAGGCCGTGTTTTACATCAATTATGGTGTTTCTGTCGATTGCGGTCAGAAAAATGATGCATGCCCTTTTTTTTTACTCACAGGACAGGAGCACAGGCATTCAAGTGCCGCGCGTTTTCGAGTGGCCGATCGCTTTGCCGACAGAGGGCCATGGCTGTGGTGCCATTGAGTCCTATACACCGACATTGCCCCTACCCGCCAAAAAACAACATGAGCTTGCCGTAATGCGATCCAGTGCGTTCAGGACAGAATCAGGACGGAACGCAGTAGGGCTGGTGGGAAATAGCTTTAAATATACTGTAGATCTTTTGAGTGTTTCAGGAAAAGGACTGTCAGTTATAGGGTCTCTCATGCGATAGTGCCACCTCTTGCTTGTTACTGTATAATGAAACATGCAGGTAGCCCGTTTTTCTGCAGCCCTTTCTTGATGGGTACTCCTAAAAATTTATAAAGAGCTCTACCTCTACTGAAGTTGCAGATTGCCTTGTGAGAGAGAGTTTTTTTTAGGTGTTTCAGACAAGAATGTTGTCTGAAACACAAAAAGAAATATAACAGAGACTGGGGTGAGCAGTCATCCTTTTGTACTGTATCTATCTCCGCTTATACCGTCATTCATATTTGTGTCTGCGGTTTGATTTAACGCTCTCTTAAGTTTCATTCTATGCCGCCCCTCTATTTGCTATGTCGTCATGTGCCGCAGGCGCTGAATTAAAGGAGAACTATGAGGTGAGTGATTTTCACTCACCTCATAGTTCTAGCCGACCTGTGACAATGAGACTGCCACAGGTCGGCTCAGTAGATCGGGAGGTGAGCGAACACATACCAGGTTCGCTCACCTCTCGATCCTGTCACGGCTCTCTGCGGGGAGGGGCTGGATTCCCCTCTCCCCACTCCGATCTGCCAATTATGTCATTAATAAAATGTATATGGACTTATTTTTGGCATGAAAAATAAGTGCAAACCACTTGCGTGGTTAAGGTGCTTTGTTAATATTTCATCTTCAATATTGATATGAACATACAATTGTATTTGTTATTTATTTGACCATTTTTTTAAATTAATTGATAGAGTTCAAATATGCTCGAACATTGAACATGAGAAGATAAAATGTAATACAAAAGAACACATTAAAGCAGACCTTTAAAATAAAAAAGCAAATTCTACCAATGCTTCCCTCTAAGTATGATGATTAAAAATAACTACAAGGAAAACAATGGGATAAGTGTTTTTCCCCATAGTTCTCGTCAGGGTCAAAGCAGGACATAAACTAGCGTCCTACCGTGCCCCAAAGCTCAGTATATAGGGAGCAACAGCTTGCGGAATACTGAGACCGCCGCAGCCGGGACTGATCCCAACATTACTGTCGAGATTCACCCAGCTGCATGATTGACAGCTGGCTCTGCCTATCTAGAGGCAGAACCAGCTGTACCAGCACCCTCCCTCGTCCGTTCCGCCAGGCAGCGCTAGAGGATCGGAGTAGGGAGGGGGGGAATCCCTGCGGGCAGCCGTGACTGAGAGTCACGGCTCTCTGCAGGGACAGGATCGATAAGTGAGCGAGTGACGGTATGTGTTTGCTGAGTTCCCGATCTACTGATCCGAGGTGTGACAGTTCCATAGTCACACATAGCCTCTAATTAGGCGGATGAGTAAAAATCACTAACCTCATATAGTTCTCCTTTAAACATGTCAGATGCAAAATGCTGTGCTTATGAAATATTTACAGTTGCAGGAGCATTCACTTCCTGCATTGAAATAAAAAAATGACCTAGG